CAATAGCTGCCAATAACTTAACAAGAATGATTAAGATATTTGTACATTTAAATACATACATTTTGTTTGATATTCGTATGTGTCAAAAATTTAGTCTTTGTTTGAAAAAAGTATTGTTAAAATTAATGTCCAGAAATTTACCAATTCATTGAAATGTCAAACTAGAGATAAACAATGATGTACATGTAGTATGATTCTAACAAGAATCATGACCATGGTAATGCCTGGCCCCTCGTGATAGGTTGGGTGTCAAAATTTAGACAATTGATTAAAAAAAAAAAAAATTAAATAAATGAATGAATGTGATGTTGTCAAATATGAATTGTCAACCAAGATTGTAAAAAAAAATTGTACAAGTAGCATGATCCAATTCTCTATCATATCAAACACAAAAATGTATTCTTGGACAAATAATGTGCAACAAACAGGGGNGTTGAGCTCGCGAACGACTCGTGAGCCTAAAGTTCATCAGCTCGGCTCGTAAAAAATGTGAAGAAAAAAGTATTAAAAAATGAGCTCGTAGGCTCGACTTGGCTCGTGGGTTGAGCCGTGCTTGACCCTTGAGCACGAGCTGAGCTCATGGGTCGGCTCGACCCATTCCCACCACTAAATAGCATGTTTGAAATAAAAAACTAAATTCCATCAAGCACCCGTGTGGTAGAGATAAGCCTTACAACATAATATTCAGAGCAATGTAGCATTACTTGTCAAAGAAAACTAAATTCTTTCGAGCACCTGTTTGGTAGATATTAAAATTAAGTTTTTAATAGATTTTGATAAAAATTGATCGAATGTGTCGTTGAAAAGTCGTGAAATATGTAATTAAAATTAATTATTAACTTTGACTTAAATCTTAATCAGATCTTTTAGTAGTACCAAATAGGGTCAAATGATTATCGACGAGATACTTTATTTTTAGTATCTCCATGTGGAAGAAACATGATAAGTTGATATCTGTCTTGAGCTTGCCAAGAATGGGACGTATAGACCCACATAATGTTCTAAAGGTCGGCAATCTCTCAAGTTTTTTCTATTCGCGAGGATATGACGAAAGAAAATAAATTTAGAATAGCTATTTGTTAGTAAAAATAATATTTTTTTAATGTAATGGATATAGACTAGAGACTACTCTAGCAATATGAAAGTTTTTAAGTAAAATCATTAACGGAGTGAAAGAAACTAATGAATAGATGATTGATGACAATTCTATTAATGGTTGTTGACCGTTTATTATCAATAATTCGATCAAAATTTTATACACGAATATATCACCGATACATCTCTATCGAAAATTATTAATGTCAATATCGTCAGAAACGTTGATGATAGTCAAACACAACGCTTCGATTACATATCATCGATGATATACGGTCGGTATCAAAAAAAGTAAAAATAAATTGATAGTGTGCTCGCTTGAATTGAAATAAGAAAGATTTACCTAGGGAATGTCATTTTGTTTCATAGTGGGGGCCGGATTCTGTGAGGCTGCTGATTTTGGGACCGAAAGCCTTAACTTTTACAAGGGCCGGTGAAATTAAATTCGTTGTAGTATCCGCTGCGAAGGTGGTGGTGGTGTACGGAGGGCAGCTAGAAATAGAGTAAATCTCCCTTTGTGTCGTGTTCAATATCACTTGCTTTACGAGTTAAATGAACATATTGCAAGAGTGCTTGTTTGAATCGAAA